ATAACTAAGGAGGTATGAGATGTCTTAATATTACCCAGCTTTAGTGTCTTTTAATGAAAACAGAAGGATCAAAGTTAGGTTAGTAAGTGCTGGGAGGGTCATCTCTCCTTATGGAGCTGCTCTGAGGCTTTTTTCGTCTTACTGCTTAATAGAGCTGCTTATGTAGCCTTTGCCTCATTTTCTCACTGCCCTGTTTATGAAAGAAGGAGAAAATTAAATGCTGCTCCAACAATGAAGCCATTAGTTTGGCCACATACCAACCCCTCTTGCCACTCTTGCATCCCAGCAGAAGCAGCACCACCCCAGCAATAGAGGAGCTATTTGTAGCTACAGAGTAGGGTACTGCAGTTGACCCCCACAAAAGAAGAACAAGTATTTGGACTTGTTGTTTTTTCTATAATGGTGCCATTTATCACTATGACACACATTCATTGACTTAGTCTGGGTTTTTTCAGTGTCAGATTTATACTTCTTTTCTGGTTTGAATATTGATGCAGCACTTCCCTTACGTGACTGCACTGCCAAATGGTGTCTAGACGCCGGAGCAGCTTTGACTAATTAGTGTAGTCACCCCAGTCTCGCAGCTTTGGCATTTACCTGCTCTTTATGTTACTGCTATAAATAGGTACCTAAACACAAGCAGCAATGTAGAGAGAGGTGGCAGTGAGCGTGTCCAGACTTCACCTAACATCCCTGAGGTGTGTGCAGAGGACAGCAGTGCCGGTCCCTGCATTCCTAACAAGGCAAGGAGTTGTAACCACTCACTTGGCCATCGCTCCCTGCGTGTGTGCAGTCAGCAGGAGATCTGGATTTCCTGGCCTGCATATCACCAAGTGCAAAGGCAAAGCTGAGAGAGGAGATTGCTCTCCGTGAAGGCTCAGCCCTTGGGTACCAACTGCACAGGCAGAGAGAAATGATGAAGGGAAATCCGCATCTGCCAGCTCAGCGATTCGGGTACTTCTTTGGGAGGACTCTGGTTCATGGAGTTCCTTTCTATAGGCCATGGTTTATACCAGATCCAAACTAAAAATGCTGCTTTAAAATTTTTGTGCCACCTCGCCGTCGATATCATGCTTTTAAATATTGCACCAATACTAAAGCTGAGTTGACCAGCTTTAAAGAGGGAGAACCGATAAATATCAAAGATAACTTCTGGACATCAGAGAACTTTTACAAAACCTTGAGGACAAAAGGTAGTGAAAACCTAATCAATATTGTCTGTGCAACAGGCTGTGCTAATATAAAATTGCCTCAAAAATTATATGCAGATTAAACACAATACTGCTATTAACAAAGCTTATTTGTAAGCAAAATTTGAAAGTTTTGATTCATCCTGCTGTGTATTTGAAGAACCACTGTCATAAGGAGAGCAAATTAACTTTGTTTCCCTTGTATTTTTAACTGTTACAAATTATTTTACTGGTGCTAATACAAAGCATTAGAGAATAGCAGGTTTGGGATTTTTTTCTCTTCTTTTCAGAAAGACTGTTTGTTTGATTTTCTTTGAATTTGCCAATAGGATTATTCTTCCTTTTTCAGCCAGTGGTATACAAAATATTTAAAGTAAGCTTTCCAGAACATCTGCAGTTTACTTTGATGAGATTTTCCAGGTCTAAGATAGAACTAATTTAATTTGTGGGGTTTCTGCCCTAGAAAAGGAAGATTTCTTTTTTTATGGAAGGGAAAGGAAAAAAAACCCATTAATGCTGCTGTGCATAATGAGGATTTTGTGACAGAAAAATAAACTAATAGCTTCTTCTAAATGTGGTCCTGCCACACGTTCTGTACAATATAAAACTGCCTGTCTCTGTCCAGTAGTGAGACACATCTCTGTTCATAGCACATATAAAATTGTGCACACCTGATGGTATGTGTTGAAAGCTCTGTTTGTTCTCTAGATAACAAAACTGCTCAGTTATGTGGTTAGACACTTGACCACAAGTTAGTACCTGCAAGTTCTTTCCTGCTGAAGGAGCACTAAGTTAACACAGTATGCAGATTTTTTTTTTTATAGGAGTGCTATTATCTGATTGCTCTTATTCTGCGTCCCTAAAAGAATTGTCTCTTTTACTCAAACAGTTCTTAATGTTCATGTGCAATACTTTAGGATTAATGGTTCTCATTAAGCTAATTTGTCTCTCTCTCTGGATAAATAGCAGTACCACTGTTTTGGTGTTAACTGATGAGCACCCTTTCATCAGTGCCAGTCTGCTGGAAGTGTTTGGGGCTAGATCTTCAGTGGGTGTTAATCAGCAGATCTTCTCTGAAAGTGTTATTTTGTGGCAAGTATAGGTCTGTCTCTGTTTTTATTTTCTGGCCTTAACTTTATTTCCAGTGGAAATGAACCCACATAAATATCAGCTGTAGTTAAGAGCTCAGGAGAGAGTGAGAGCTTTGATAGGATGAAGTTTGGATGACTCACTAGGGAAGAGGTGTGTGATAATGTCCAGTGATGCCTGGACCAGAGCTGTCTGAACTATATTTGACTTAAGAAAACTTAAATGTGCAACATTGTCAGATCATTACCTTTTATTACCACAAAAAGTTTTCATAAATTCACATACTAATCAAGCTGTATGTAAAGGAGATCAGCAGAGCACTTTTTAGCCGCCTTTAGGGCTTACAACAAATAAGTTCTTTAAGCAGACTGGGTAGTAAATGACTGGTGTTATTCCATAGTTATCAGTCTTTAGAAACGTTTGGAGAAAAAGAATGTATTATATGATCTCTGTACCAGTGCACCTAATAAGCTAAGGGAGAACTGGACATTTAAGAAGGATGAAGTGATTGCAAGGCGTGTTTTCAGGATTATCAAGACGCTGATTGTATAATTGCATCTCCAGAAAGATTTATTTGTGGTCACATAAATTATGAAATTTAAATTTGAGGAGCTGCTTTGTTTTAAAAATGCAAAAATGCTGCACATGCAGCAGGTTTGCCCTTTCTACCAGGGCAGAGGTTTTTCAGACTAGGTAGATGAAGTAGGTTCTGTTCTGTCCTAAACCTTACTTCATACAGGAATTAGTAAAATCCTTGGAAACTGTCAACTGTCTTTGTTCCCAGCTGATCCAAAGGCTGGATTCAAGCCACTATCTTAATTATTGACTGGGAGAGGAGTCGGTGCAGTGACATAGAGTTTCCTTGCCCAGATTTTCTTTCAGGTGCTGCTGTTTATCTCTTCCCATACTTTGAGACCCATTTCTTCTCAGCCTGTCTGCTGATAGGCACAGTATATATTAAGCAGCAAATTAAGGATTTTATGTGAATTTAGGAATTTATCTATATGTATAGGGTATCTTGAAGGATTGGTAGAGAGCTTTACTTTTTAAGACTATTAAAGGCAACTGGGTAAAAATTCGTGTCTCGAGGTTAAGTGGTTAAATAAGGGAAGAGAAGGAATGAAAAGCTTAGAGTTGACTTGTAGCTTGAAGGCAACCATGGATTTGCTGGTGTCAGTACAGCTAGTGAGAGAGGGAACTAAAAAAAAGCCATGAGAACAGCTCAGATAAATTCAGGTATAGGTTGCCTAGAGTCTATTTATAGTGTGCTTTGTCAGACTAAGCCTGTGAACCTTTTGAAGTTTGCCCATCATTACTTTCAGGCCAATTAATGATGTGTATCCAGTCCCATTCTGTGGTGGGTAAAACAATAAAGTAAACAAAGATAATTAGTCTCTGGAGTATGTAAACAAATAAAGTAAATCACTTGCAAATCACTTGTTTTTGCTAACTTTTGTGGGTTTGTTGCAAAACTGAAAAATTTATATTGTAAATCTGCATAATCCTAGAGCAGTGATGAAAATTCATATATTTTACAATTCTGATTTTGAGAGAGCTTTGCAGAGAGTAAGCACCTGATCCTGAGACATTATTACTGTGGGTTTTTACAAAAGAGCATTTTTGTACCTATTTCAAAGAAGAGAAGATTGAAGTAGGGATGTTAAATATTTTTTTTCTTGGAGATAGAGATCTAAATGATACTTTGTAAATAAAGAATAGTCATTGATCCAAGTTTATGAGCCTGAGCAGGGCAGAAGAGCAACTGCAAAGGTGTGGGACCTTGGCCCACCTCATCTCAGTGCCTCACAAATTTTACAGACCTGAATGGGAGCATTATGTGGCCTTTAAAGTACAAATAACCAGAAGAGATCATGGCTGCTTGTCCTTTTATTTTGTTTTCCAACATAGTAGTTATCAGTTATTGACAGTACAGCTTCACTCCGGGTCTTAAAGCACCTCCTGTCAGTAAGCAGTGCTCTCCCCTTCTTAGTCATGGGGCCACTGGGGGAACTGAAGATAATATGGCCATTCAGCAGCAGAGCTCCATGCAGAGCGCACATTCCCTTTCCTCGCTCCTGAACTCAACACTCCAGACTTCGGATAAAAGCACATTTCAACAAGAACAAATAGATTCTCAGTACTGTGGCTCTGGGGGATGTGGAGACCGTGCCAGCTGGTTCTGCCTGCTCCCCCAGTTCAGCCAGCTGGTCCTGCAGGCCAGTCCAGAGCAGGGGGAAGCGTATTCCCTGGAAACTCAGGACGGTACCAAAGCAGGTCCTGCTTCCACTCTTGCAGTAAGAGGGCTCTGTGAGTACAAACATACAGTTTTGTGTAATCAGTAAGACAGCAGAAACTGTGTTCTGAATCTTTAGGACAACAGACTCCACTTAGAGTTCAGATCCAAGAAAAATGACTGATAAAATCACTCTTTGTCTTTTTTTTCTTGGCAGGAAAATCCAGAACATTTCTTTTAGTAAAGGGCAGACATTGCCCTGTTGTTCTGTCCCTTTTTACTGTTTTCTTACACTTTTTTGTTCTGACTACAAAAATAGACTCTGGAAAGTGATGCATTTTGAAAAGAGACTCTCATCAGCTGAAATGTGTCCAATATGCATTTGAGTTAAAGGATATTAAGCCTTGTCCAAAAATAAAGAGAGTGTAAAAGGTAAGAACGCCTGCAGGCTTGATTTTTAAAGATACGCATTTTTCTTCATGTTGCAGATCTCGCCTTGCAGATTTCTTCACAAACTGCCAGCCTGAGTCACGGTCTGTTAGCAGCTGTCTGAAGGAGAACTATGCTGACTGCCTGCTCGCTTACTCGGGGCTTATTGGTAAGAAGGCAGGGAAGGGTGGGGGAAAAACACCCAAACTACGTTTCGAAGGCCCACATGAAATAAAAACTGGAATATAGTGCTATACAGAATCACAGGATCAGCCAGGTTGGAAAAGACCTCTGAGATCATCAAGTCCAACCTTTGACCCAACACCACCTTGTCTACCAGACCATGGCACTAAGTGGCACATCCAGTCTTTTCCTACAGGCCTGCAGGGATGGTGACTACACCACCTCCCTGGGTAGCCCATTCCAATGTCCAGTTCACTCTCTCTGTGAAGAACTTCTTTATAAAGTTTAACCTAAACCTCCCTGGCATAGCTTAAGACTGTGCCCTCTTGTTCTATTGCTGATTGCCTGGGAGAGGAGACCGACCCCCACCTGGCTACACCCTCCTGTCAGGGAGTGCTGGAGAGTGAGAAGTTCTCTCCTGTGCCTCCTCCCTCTCCAGTGTGGAGATTCTCCAGGCCAGATTCTCCACCTACGTGTATTGTCCCTGTTTTACCTTACAGAGATTCCTGGGGTAATTTTGTACATTGCAAGAAAACTAAGGATGGAAGATATGGAGAGAAAGGTGCTTGAATTTGAAATAAATTCAGGGTTAAAACGTAGAGCTTATTAAGATGGTTGAATTTGGACAGGACAGAGGAGTAGGAAGTTAAAAAGAACAAGTGAAACTGCCACTTGGTTGATTTTGCAACTGCCATCACAAGGTTGGGTAAATACCTCCTGGTCTTCAGGGAAAGTTTACAGGACATTTGAGGTATGAAACAGTAGATCAATTCAGCCTCGTTTCACTTCCAACTGTTTTTCTTTCCATGATATCCTTCTGTCCACTCTAAATGTTTTCTGAGATGCCTGTCAGTGAGATGAACTGAGACTAAATTTATCTTCTGAAATCCTTTTCCCTCCCCCACATAATTATTTTTATTTGTTGTCACCTTCCTGGCTGTCAGCAGGCACAGGGATGCCTTTATGGAAACCAGATTCCATATGCCACACGCAGTATTTGAGAGAGATCACGTCAGGAAGCGGAACATGTTGTAGAAATACTGTAGTTGGGCAAAAAATAATAAGTGAATGTCAAAACTCTGGAACAAAACAAAACTTGAAAGGCCACCAGATAAGATGTTTTTAAGCTTAGAGCCTGCACCTGCTGCGATGCAGTAATATCCCCTTCTGTTGGGCATGAAGGTGCCAGCTGAGGCCCTGCAGTTGATCCTGCTGTTAAATAAATGTCTCTGGAGATAATATCGAAGCCAAAACATTTCCCAAGTAGGTTGGTTTTGCTGAGAAATGACTGAAAGCTATATTCAGTGGCTTATTGTTATCATTCTTATTACTCCAGCAGCTAACAAGTGAGGCAGGTCCACATGGCAACGGGTACACTGAGATGTGATGGCTTCAAAGGGGATGCTTCTGTGACTGAAGAGATTAGGACAGTATGCAAAGGGTATAACATATGAACAGTTATGACAGAATGTCATTTGACTCTGAAACAGAATTGAATAGCCTTGAAATCTGATCTAGTCAATGAGATTAAGAAGTCTGGCTGCTGGCAAGGAGTAACTGTTACTAATAGATACTTCTGGGTAAGAGCTGCCAGGAAGTTCTTGCTGGACCTAGTGAATTTTGCTGGCAGGTTTGTTGGTTTCATTTTTCAGTTTAACCCCAAAGATGACCCAGTTCCTGTTGTCAGGTGTTTCTGTGTTACTGTGGGTGACCGTGCTGCAAAACACTGTCACACATCAGAAACGTGGAATGGATCCCTGAGGGGTTGAAATCAAAAGGAGATCTAGTTTTCAAAGGGAAAAAAACATATAATTTTCTTCTTCATGCTAGTCCCAGGAGACATGCAAAACAGGAACTGGCTTGTGTTACGAGAGTTTTTACTTCTTAGTAGTGATTCTGTTAAACCAAGAAAATTATCAAAACAAATGTTTCTTGTGCTGAAGCAGTAAACTCCTGCTTCTGATTGCAGTCTGATATAAAAGTGTAGTAAATTATGTCAATACCATCAAATTTGTAAGATCCTGCGATAGAAATGAGAGATACAATCTTTCAGCTGTCTGTGTAATATATATAATACACAGGAAGAAGAGAGAGACTGTGGGCAAGAGGCTGTTACAGATCCATTCATTTACTGGAGCTTCACAGTCTCCTTTTAATTAAGATAAAATATTTTTCATTAAAATATTATTTCATTTAGCCATTTTATTAAATGCAGCAAAAATTGCACCTCCATAGAGTTTGTTCAGGAAATTGAGGATTCTTTATGGAAGGTACAGTGGATGTGAGTCTGTAGTCATATACAGGGACGTAAATAAGAGTAAACTTCACTGAAATTAGTGGAATCTCACCTAAAATGAACTACTTAAGTGGAAATAGAATCAGGCAGTTATTGTATGAAGTGCTTTATCAATTAAATGGAGAACTTGCTGTAGAGGGTGCATTAAGGTTTGCATCAGGGTATTATGTGCATAATTTTAAAGGTATGTATATTTTACAGGAATTCTGAAAATCTGAATTAATTGCTTTAGGCTCCTTGTTGTAGTATAGGGATAAATTAATATTTTTTTTTAAAGTAACAAAAAAATAGTAAAAAATTATTACATGTAAAATGAGACTGTGGATAGCCATGTTTGAGAGTCAGTGCTTTGGTTTCAGCCTAGCTAAGCCATCTGGACCTGTCTGCACTCCCACATCAATTAAGTTTGTTCTAACTGCTGACTTCAAGGTCTGCTTTAGCATTCACTTTCTGTCACATTTTCCCTTGTCTTGAGCAAAACCCATCTAATTTCTCTGTCATTCCCAGGAATTCCATGAGAGTTTGTGTGAATAAGCTGGAGTTGCTTTGGGCCAAAGGAGCTTCAGCCCCTTACTATTCGTCCTGGACTCACCATCCATTTCCTCATTCTTAATTGACCTTAATTTGAGCAACCTCTTGGCTGTTCAGATCAATTCTGCTTTTGTCTAAAATATGAAAAATATGAAAATATATGTCTGCTTACTTTTGAGAACATCACAGAACTGTTTGATAGAGAGAGCTCAGAAAACCAAGCATGTCCTATTTTACTGCCAACCACCATGGCTTCTCTGATCCCTTAGTGTCCTTCAGCAGAATTTCCAAGATGCCAGCTAGTGGGAAGGGAGGGGGGGGGGGAAGGCACACACATTGCAGGGAAAAAAGAAAATCCACCCCAGGAAACCAAGCACATAATCCGCTTGGGTTCACATCTGCCCCCAGGTTTAAATGACAGACTGATTTTCTACTAGCTGCTCTTTCAGCCACTGTGTTTATGCTGGATGTACAGTTTGTGTGCTGTGTACACACTTTCCTTGTCCTGTCTTTCCTGTATTCATCAACCCCTAATTGTACCTTGGTATCTGTTACACTTTTAACCCCTGTCTTGACCCATTTTAATTACCTTATTACCCCTTTGTGATAAGAAAGTCTTACCTCAGTGACCTTTTTAATTTCCTCCATACCTTTCTGGTTTTTTAACCCTTCACTAAGCACTGGCTAATTAGAATTATTTTTTTTTAGCCTACTGTTTTCTTTCCATTTGCAAAATCCACTTTGCATTTTCTCTCGCTTCTTTTCAGATCGTGTTGCATGGCTGAAATAGTGTACTGAACCATCAAATGGATAAGGGACAGGCATTTTAATATGTTTTATTTTAATTTAACATCATTCCTCTTCTTATTTATCTACTATCCAGTTTTCATTAATGATTCAAATGATATTTGCCTATTTTACTAAATTCTCTACCTCAATTTAATAAATTTTGAACTGTGCTATTTACTCATGTGCTAATCTCATGTAGAATTTGATCAATTATTACTATGCAACTATCTTCTAAAAGCTGGAAGTAGAGAAAGGTAAGGGAGTGCAGTCTAATTTAAGAACATCCCAAAACAAGAAAAAAGATGCTTTTTTATGAGTTTGGCAATGGGGCTGCATTTGCTTTCACCTACATTACTGCCTTTCTCAGGCCAGCCCTAATGCCTGTTCTCCTTTGTCTCCCACATCATATATGCAGCAGTTTGCATGTTGATTTGCTCAGTTCCCAGCACTGCCTTGGTGACTTAAAGGCTGTTTGACATTACTCTGTGATTCATGTTATTTCTAATGTTCCTTTTTTTAACCTAATGTTTGATAGCCCTTTCCTGTGTGTTATTGCAGACTGTTGGACCCTGGACCTATAGACCAAATTTTCATTGCTAGCGTACACTTTATGTCTCTAACATTTGTCCTTTGTCTATTCCATCTTATTAATGACTACTTGGATGTCACTTTTGAGGAGATGTGATCACATTTCCTCATGATATATAACCTGTCCTAGAATTGCAGATTATCAAGTGAGGAACATATTCCCTGAAAAAGCAGCTTAACAGCTCTGGAATACTTTCTCCTTTTTATTAAATTTTTCCTTTTTGATCAGACAAATAAAATAAGGTTCACACTTCTCAATCTTTAGGGAAGTTTGAAATATCTGACCTGCTGGGTGATGCCTTCAGTTAGACCACTGGCTTGAGCAATTGCTGATCATGAAAGAGTTTCCCAATCCAGATGAGTGATGAACAGTTGCTGTACATCTTTCAGGACAAAAAATGCCTTCTTTGGTTTCATTTCATTCTTGGTAGCCTTGAGTTGACATATAAATATGAGAATATTTACTCAAGAACTTGTAATAGAGCTAAAATGACCCTGTGGTTGGAAGTTGTTGACAATGTTTAGGAAATAATCACTGTACTGAAGAAGTAGTGAGACAGCAAGATTAATAGGAATTTATTACCCGCAAAGAATCTGCTGTTACCTTTTCATGCACGCTGGGTTTTGCTCTGTTCATCACCATAACCCACTCTGTTGGCAGATTCCTAATGAGCACCCTGAGGTTAACACTCCTCCAGGACATATCAGGGCTCCCCTTAGCATGTCTAGCATTCTCCTTGCTCATGCATTTCAGAAATGTTTTTTCAGGCTGGCTGCAGACTCAACGAGGAATCACAGGTCTGGATACCTAGTTTCAGCTGTTTATTTGCAGATAGAATTAAAATGGAGGGCGGAAAAAAAAAAGGCAGGCAAGGAAGAAAAAATGGATTTTTAGAGTGCAATTCAAGCAACCAAGGGTGTGAACTATAAACGCAAGGCTGGGTGTCACAGGCTGAAAAGGAGCCAGAACTGTTAAGTGTGGAGGTCAGAGCCCTGCTGTGGGTCTGTGTTGTGAATCCAGCCCCGAATACATGACTTGCCAGGTGCTGTTTGCTGTCTTCTTAGGATGGAAGAGAGTATTTTAGTACAAGAGGTTGCTCACAGTACTGTGCTTCCCTCTGTTAACAGGCACCGTGATGACACCAAACTACATAGACTCAAACAGTCTCAGTGTTGCCCCGTGGTGCGACTGCAGCAACAGTGGTAATGACAGAGATGAATGCCAGAAGTTCCTGAATTTCTTCCAGGACAACATATGCCTTAGTGAGTACAAAATTAGATGTCTTTTAATGTGTTTTAGGATGGGTTTTAGTTTGTTTTTTGGTGTTGTTTTTTTTCTGTTTAAGTGTGTTACGATACATCAAGGCCGTTTCTTTGCACTTTGTAAGCATGGTTCTGTTATAGGTGTTAAAATTAAAAGAACAAGCAAATATGCCTGATAGTGAGGTTTCTTTCGGCCAAGATTGCAAACGTGACGAGCTTTTGGAAAAAAAAAATCAAATAACAAAGTTGTAGGGTATTGAAATATGTTTACATCACAGATCATATTTGGACCTTAATGGTCAGGCAGCATCTTTACCAAAATATTGCAACACCTGGGGGGTTTCTGTGTAATTTAAGAACTTCATATAAAAAAGACATGTAGCTTATGATATGAAGGATTTGCTGTAAGTAAGTATAAATTGGATTGTGCTTGCAGTTTATTGCCAACTTCAAGTTTTTTAGGGTGTTTGATCTCAGATGCCTGGTTTTAACACAAGCCTGGATGGTAACTATTGTAAAGATTTTGTTAAATTACTGATTTTTTTTTTTTTTTTTGGTCAGACTCACTTCCAAATTAGGGACTATTATAAATTTCAGAATGGCTCAGTAGAGTCGATTTTGGCAGGTTCTTTTTTCAAATTTCCTGTCTGCCTGGAGCAGCATAATTGGATGAGGTGGAGTGTGCATCAGAGTTTTAATTTCAGATAAATGAGGAGGCTAAAAGAGCTTGGCTTCCCTAGCCTGGCAGAACAGAAGTTGAAAGGATGTGTGATTGTCCACAAAAATTGCATTAGAGGGGCAAACCCAGGATTACTTCACCTGGAGGACAATGTTGGCATAAGAGCAGAAAGGGAGACATTTTCCATACGTATTTAGGCTCAAAATGAGAAGAATTTTAACCATTACACTGAAGTTAAGAAAAAGGCTTCCAGCAGGAGTTTTGAGGGTAAAAATGGATTTAAAAGTCATATTTCATCAGCTTATGCAAAGAAGCATTCATAGAGCATTGCTTTCTTCAAAAACAGTAAATGAACTCAATGGTCCAGACTGTTCCGTCCAGCCCTACAGACCTGAGCTGATGCAGGGCTCAGTCTGTATTTTAACAGAGTCTGAAAATCTCCATTGGCAGCTTCTCAAGAGGCAGCATCATGGTCAATACATGGGGAACTTTGCCTACAAAAACATGAGGATACACTGTTTATTAAACTGTGGAAGAATTAATCACTTAAGATTATTTAACAAAATAAAAAGAGAAAAGAGTTCAATTTATGATGGGGTAAAGTTTAGCAATATACCATCAGACCTTCCTCAAGCCTAATGGGGGTTGCCATTTATATATATTGTAATGCTTGAGATTGTATTCATTTGTGAATGTGTTAATCTCTAGAGTGTTAAAGGTTCCTTTTAGAACATAAAGACAGAGCAATTCTTCGTCCTTTCTTTTGCCATCGGTACAAAAGCATTTATGAAGACAAATCAAAGACAGTAGAGGTTACTGTGAGACAAATTATAGTCATCTTAGCTGCAAGAGATGTCTTCCTCATGAAGAAATTGCAGACATTTCTGGTTTACTACAAAGTTTTTCTTTTAGGTAGAGTGGGAAAAGTTAGTCGTTTGGGGCATTTACAATAATGTGGAAAAGCTATCTTTAATAAAAATCCATTTAGTTACTGATGCAAAATGGAAGAGCTGGGACTGTACCCTGCGGGCCAGGGAAATTGGAAAGCAGGAGACTAAGGATCATATTCACACTGTGCCTGATGTGGAACTGGGATTTGAAACTGAGTGTCTCATGTCCCACATACACACCTGAAATCCTGGTCTTTCTTGGTCCTCCCCGTGCACTTTTCCAGAAATTACACTCTGGAGTCAAAGTGCCTTTTGCAAACAGATGTTAAGTTGAAACCAGAGTGGAAGTTTTGATTTCAGAGGATGGGTGTGAAAATACAAGTGAAAATTCAAATCTGTTTTAATAATTAGTCCCATGAAGACAAGCATTTTGTTGTTTTCTTTTTATCTGTATTAGGTAAAGTGTTTCTTTATCTCAGCACTTTCCTGCAGAATATGGGTTTATGTCAGAACTGTGAAATGGGCCCAATTTCCAGTTTAATAGGACCCAAATAAGATATATTCCTCTCTAAAATTTTGGCTGTATATTACCTTGCTTTTACTTTTGTCCTCTATAATGAATTTACAGAATTCCTACTGATCTGAATGGGATTCAGTGTATCTACCCATCTGCTCAAAGAATTTGTTCACACTTGCCTGTGAGTTAGTTAATAAAAATTATTGTGAGGACCTTTACTAGAGCAGTTAGACACTTGAAGCACCTCCTTGAAGTCCTTACGGTTTTTGAAATATGTTTGCAATATGTATTTCAAATATATTTGTGTATTTGAAATATTGTGAAAATATGAGGAGGGGGTGGGATACCTCTTCTGTGAGTTGGTGTTGTTTAGCTTGAAAGAAGGCTCTGGAAAGACCTTATTTTGGCCTTTCAGTGCTTAAAAAAGGGGGGTTCCAACCCAAACCATTCTGTGATTCTGTCATAAAATCATAGAATATATCAAGTTGGAAAAGACTCATAAGGATCATCGAGTATGACTGTACGAAATAATTGAAGAAAGCTAATTGTAGAGACCACTTGTTACTTAAAAAACTGGAAGGGTTGCACGTATTTCTGTGACCTTTCTTGCAGTAGTGGAAACAAAGAGTTGCTGTCAATTTAGGAAATAATAGGAAAATATTGGTTTATATATTGCCTCATTCTGGGGAAATGAAGGAAACGTAGCATTCCACTCTTCCCACTTTGTCTCCATTAACTCAACTGATTCTGGTGCTTTCTACAAATTCTTCTCTTTGCATGTTGAAGTTCTGAGAACTAATATCGTAATAACATACATATTTTCCAGTTGAAAATTAAATGTAAATTATTTTATAAGCCAAGGAATACTACTGAGAAGAAGTATTAATAACTTCCACATATTAGTCCCCAGTGAAATTGTTTGGTTTCTTGTACAAAGAATTTGAAATAAGAAATCCCCAAATCCATGTTGAATCCCCAAAGACCTGATTAAAAACTGTTTTTCTATTTGTTTTATAAAAACTCCAACCAATTTACTCTTGCTATAAACACACTCTTTAATCCCGTGAAACTGTGATAAGCTTTTTAACTTTTATATTCTAAAGTTTTAGTTTAAGCATGTTTCCTTCACCTAATTATGCAGATTTTGATTGAAAACTGTAAGGAAAAGATTGCCTTAGTTAAACTATTTTGTACTTACAGGCATATTAGTTTTACCACAACAAGCTGTAGAAATAAATATTTTGCCTGTTCTCTGTTTTCAGTCTGCTAAAATCACCTGCCTGAATTAGGACATGACATTCAAACTGTACTTTAAATCCTCAGAGTAAATTTTTGAGGCTTTTGGATGGTAACAAATATGATTATGGTAAGTCCTAGAGTGTCTGTCAAGAATTACTGGAAACATTACAAAGAGGAGACTGCACCAGATAATTACGACCCCAGACTCTGAGTTCGTGTTTCAGACAGGTTCAAAATTAAGACACGTTTTTCAGCATAAAAAATGAGTTTCTCTAAATACACATTTTCAATGTAATAATTATAATAATAATAAAAAACAACTCAGTTCTGCTCTTTGCCTTTTGTTTTTAGAAATAGAAAATTGCCTGTAATTTATTTTTACAGAAAACGCAATTCAGGCCTTCGGCAATGGTACTGATGTGAATGTCTGGCAGCCAATCTTACCAGTACAGACCACGACAGCCACAACTACAACAGCTTCCAGACTGAAAAACACAGGTTCAGAGACCACCAACAATGAAATACCCTCCCACAATGATTCACCAGCATGTGCAAACCTGCAGGTAAGAGAGCTCTGTACTTGTTGCAGTGAATAAATGGAAGTTTTTCATAGATATCTGTAGGCTCCCACTGCCTAAGTGGGTGCCTGCATAAATTAAAATATTTGTTTATTCCCATGTTGTAGGATATTGTAAAATATCAGATACTCTTATTTGATATCAGAAACCTGCATATCTCAAAGTGGACTTTATTGCCCCCCTGACTCAGAAACAGAGAGTAGTATTTCATTTCTTATCACAGGTTTGAATATGAATGTGGCACTGTCCAAACCCTGCCAGGATATGTCAGAATAAATTAATTCCCTGAGTAACCCAAATTCAGAGGGAGCCCCTAATACGAGCTTGCATGTCCTACTGCCTTCTGTCTTATGTTATTGGCAATGAACTCGAGGGTTTTTGGCTGAGTAGGTTTGGATATGAGAGAATATGTGGTGAAGAAGCTGAACAAAGATAGAAACAATTTTGGATCAGGCACTCTCCTGAAGTGGGATTGAGGTCATGGATGTGATTTTGGCCAATGACTGTAGTGGTTTTCTTTGACACTTAAAGTAGGCTATTCATGGTGCATCATTGCTTCTGGATTTAAAGAGCTTCATCCCTTGCTGAAGACAGTATATGCAGCTCTTAAAAAGTTTGAAGAACTTGGGTGGGAGACAACAGCAAAATCAAGGCAGGAAAAAGGCAGCAGGAATTGTATGCTTAAAACATCCTTAGGCCAGATGAGAATCTGGGGCTATAAAAATTTCTGATGGTTTCAGTGCTGAAGCAGGTCAGGGGGAGATGAGCTTGTCCTGTTTATGTTTGTCTTTACAGAAGGAAAATTGCTATGTGACACAAATGTAAGTGTCAAGTTTTAAGGTCTCATCTGATATTAAGATAAATTTTTTGGGATTTCCAAACTTTTCCATTCTTGTAGCATTGACTTTTTGCTTCCCTATAAAAAATTGATTTTGTATTTTTCATATTAAACTGTTTCCATGTGTATTGAAACAAGAAGGTTTTATTCTTTGGAAGTGCGTTTTGCTGCTTAATTTTTCCAGCACCATCTCTCATCTTCATCCTTTTCCAGTTCCTGCATTTATTTCATATTGAAAATTGTATATAAATCAACATCAGAGGAATTTCATGGTCACAAAGTATAGGGGGTTAATGGTAGATGGTGCTGAGTTTAGGTGCTTCTGTTTTTCATATCTGTACGTTCGTTATGATTTAAGCCTTTTAAGTTATTGTTGAGAGAGATAGTTATAGGTATATTTTGATATTTGCAATAGTCATTTGACCAAATAGAATATACTGAAAGAAATGTAACCTTTTAAACAGAAACTTTGAATATCTTGGATTTGGAACAAGACCTCGATGGGATATTATTGACTCAATTCATGTTATATTAAAAAGTTGTTTTATGGGAGAGATCACATTTTCCTTCAGTGTTTGTACAGCCCCCTATAGAGCAAGGCCTCCAGATGCTACCAAAATACACATAATAAATAAAGAACTGAAGAAATGGCAAGTCCTCACAAATCCCATTGGATTCACTTCAATTTGCAAATGTTCCTAAAACCTAAATAGATGTTCCTTTGTTTTGAAAGTGAATTAAATTCTTCCCTGTCCTTCCTCCTGTTACTCTGGTGTTTTGAAGTCACATCCCACATGATTTTATCAGCGCTGGTTTAAAGCTGTGCTGTGACTTCAAGTGTACCCCTGATGTACTTGACACCAGAAGTAAAGGTCTGTAGGGAAAATAGCTTCCTTCAAATAAATGATCTCTGCTGTTTCATAGAAACTGTAGATAAGTCTGCAATAAAAGGTCACTGAAGTTATGTGAATGAAACAGTTTTATTCCTGTGAAGTACAACATTCCGGTGCTTGCTATTTCCTTCTGTCAGAATTGAAACGCAAAGAACAAAGCTCTAATATTTAAATGTATTTTTCAAAAAAACAACTTACGAATAGAGCTAAAACAAGCCCACAATTTTTTAAAAAGAAACCCGTGTTTTTTGGACAGTATGGTGCCACTTTGAATGTGAGACTTAAACCTTAATGCACATTTTATAAAAGAATTGAGGTATTCATATGACACTTGGAGAAGGGTATTCATTCTAAGGCTTTCCTCCCATGAAAAATATGCTTTGTAGTATTTTCAAAACACGAACTAGTGCGACCAAAAGCGGTGTGAAGGGTTTTTTTATGCGATTAGCAGTTGAACTGAAAGGTTTCAAAAAGGCAGTATAGCCTAAACATTGTGGAAAGACGAATTAAAAGCATTAGTCTCAGCACAAAAAGACAATGTCCGAGAGGGGATAAGGAGATGATCATTGAGATGTGACCAGGCTGCATATTCTAGTTAGTGGGTTTAAAAACACAGTGAAGGAAGAAAGAGCAGGAAGTGATTGATTAGTACAAATTGCCACTGAAATAAATACAGTGAGGGAAGAAAGAGCAGGAAGTGATTGATTAGAAAAATATGCTGTAGAAATGAACAAATTCTAACCTCCCAGGGATGTAAAATACAGGGCACTCACCCAGTTCGCCAGGAGCGTCACTGACTGAGCAATTTTTGATACATTTCTTTCTGACTTGTTCAAAATGATTGTATGAAAAGCAAGGGTGAACTGATGGTTTTGTCGTTGTGCCATGTTCTGCAAATGCAAACCTGGGAATTGGAAGGGAATAAGAATGCCTAAAGAAAATATAAGATTCTCTTTCTTTACCTGTACTCAATATTTATTTCAAATACCTTTTGAAGATTTGGACTTTTAAATTAAGTTTGTTTCAGTGATGCTGTTTAGAAGTTGTTCAACATTTCAACTTACCATTGCTATGAGCATTTGCAGTTCTCCTATTATGGAGTATTTTCTTATTTCAAAATGATACAGCAAAATTTTTGTTTCTGCTATATGCTTACATTATGTTTCCATATGCTTGCATTGTGTAATATGCCCTGTCTTCTATCCCTAAATTAAATCAACACTCCATCTCTGCCAGGAAGATGCTTCATTTTGTCAACCATCCTATTAACTCTCTTAACTCTAAAAACCCGGCTTTTAACAAAGTTTGCTAAACCCACAGAGTAAATTGTAGTTAGTTTTATACAAAATGCTAAATTAAAGTATATTTGAGATGCTTGACATCTTGCAAAGGATCCTCAGCTCTACAGAAAAATAACATATAAAGTATTGTGAACAAAGGAGGAGATGAATGCCAACAGCGTGCTCCTTAAGGATACAGGCATATTTTATTAAGTAAGTGCCGACAGTGTATTTTTTCTGATAGCTTCACTGTAATGTTTGCTGTTTAACTGGCATATATGTTAATCCTTCATTTTCAGTCATAACTTGCATTCAGTATGCCAGTCAAAAAATGGTTATGGTCTTTCAGTCTCGTGTTCTTCCCCCACCGCCTGAACCATCACATTGGATTATTTGAAAGGGACAAAGGGAATGAGTTTGGATGTGCACTCACACCGTGTATTCTTCAAGAAGAAGGCTACTTCTGCATTTTGGAGAGATACATAGGCCTGAATGATGATAATGAAATAAACCTCAAGTGATAGATTAGACTAGATTGGACCCTTTATTCCTGGGTCATTGCAGGGATAAATAAAAAGCTAAGACTTCCATACTGGGTTTTCTGTAATATTTCAGAGGATATTTTGCAGATCGAAGTCAAGATGGTTAAGGACATTTAAGTAAGTTTATGCATCGAAATCTATCAACTTGCTAGCTTGCTCTGTACTTTGTTTTCACACATTTATTATAAATGCCTTACTTTAGTTAACGTTAATTCAGCATTTAAAGAGAATTTAAGGGTTTTGTGCCTTTGAAGACCATAGCAATGTACACATGAATTGACATACACGGCCCTTTGGACTGAAAGCAAGCACTTGCAATCAAGTCCAGTATGTGAATTTTGTTGTACTCTCAGCAGAAAAATTTAAAATCTGTCAGATATAAATTGAAAACCTCAAGCATTTTGTCAAAGGGAACAAAGGAGAAGAGAAATCTAGATACTTAAATGTGTTGATTCTTTCTATTTGCGTTTAAGATTAGTGAGTGTTTATAACAGTTGTGGGTCATATGGCAAGCTGTTCTTCCACAAATTCACATAATACTTGGGATTAAAAAAAAAAAAACACAACAACCCTATTATGTAGAGTCTTAAGACGAAAACAGGAGAGTTCACAGTCCTCTGAGGAGAGCAGGACTTAAATATGACTCAGACTGAAAATGACTGTGCTTCTCCCTTGTAGATCTGTGTTGCAGATCTCCGGCATTGTTCGAGGATCTGCTAGTCTGGTGGTTTAAGTACCGTCTGTAATTACTTAATGTGCCTTCTCATGCGCTAAATATTATTATTATAGAGCATTATGTAGGTGTTTGGAGAGGGTTAAGAGCTTCAGTGTAGCGTTGTGAGGATCAAGGCACAGCAGGTATGGATCTTCATGAGCTGGTAATTGGGTGGTGGGTGAACATAAGCAGGAAACACAGGCAGGTGTAGGTGTGCTGTTGATGTAGGAATTGTACAACTGCTGAGATGGTGCACTGGAGTAGAGACAAGGGGAACTTGTTTTATCCCTTGAGCACCAGTATTAACTCGCCCATATGCCTGGCACCCTCTTTCCTCCATCTCTTCACACAGCCTGTGATCTTTCCTTTTCTGTTGTAAACAAGCGCTGTCCTTTCAAATGCCCTGCCTGCTCTGTCCCTTGGAAAAGTCCTGCTTGGACCTCTTCCTCTGGGCATTACAACTACACAGAAAATTATAGGCGGGGGTAAAAGATGGACAGCAGTATAAAACTTCCAATGCTATGCCAAAACAAACAAAAACCCAAAATCGACTAAACAGTTCATATGAAAAGCTTTAAATTTACCTCCTGTATTTCCAGGATTAGCTGACATAATGGGGTCAGCTGGCTGGTACAAATGATTTAGAGAACACCTATTGGCAGCTTTTCTTCTGAAAAAGCAATGCCTTTAATTTGCTTTAGTGGCAGTTCTCCCGTA